AGCTGAACACCCTGCACCCAAGGATGGCAGAACAGGTCTTCCAACGATGGCCTGTCCGAGGGGCGGGTGGACAAACAGCACGTGATAAGGTGCTGGCACCATGGGGGGAGAAACCAGAAATGGCTGGTCAGTTGGAGAAGGATCCTGTCCCCTTTGTCCCGCTGTCCACGTGCCCAGGCTGTGCTGGCTGTGCTCAGAGCTGTGCCCACACTTCCCGATCCATGCTCCATTTTGGAGGAGAGCAGGATGGCAGGACACAGGCCACCTCCTCCAGCCAACGCTGGGACAGAAACAGCTTCAAGAGCAGGATCCTCGTGAGCCCCCTGCCCTCTCCCAACACCGGTATTGCCCCCCGGCCACAAAGATTGGTATCCACTTCGAGAGACCCGTGGTGGGAACGGGAGCTGGCCCCAGATGGTGCTCCTGCCTTTCCAGAAAGGGTGCTGCCCGCAGACCATCTGGTAGAGCAGGATGCCCAGGGACCAGATTGTTGCTGCCTCGCCGTGGTAGCTTTTGAGCCAGATCCACTCTGGTGGACTGTACGATGGTGTTCCTACAGAATACAGATGGAGTTCAGCAGGTGGGTGCTGCCTGCTCCCAGAGCCTCGCCCCAGTGTCCCTGGCAATGTGGGGCCTGCCCCAGAGGCACACGGTGTGACCCACTGCCTTCTCGCCGGCACCTGATTCGTTCCCCAACTCTGGCTTGTAGAAGAAGCCGCTGGTGTCCAAGAGGGCAGTGGAAGCCCTGGGAAGGCCCAACCATTCCATGCAAGGGAAAAACCCACCCAGTGTGGGGAAAAGCCATGCCTTCTCCCTGCCCTACTGCACTGCCCCCAACAAATAATCATAAGGCAAGACAAATAAGGCGAGCAGAGCAGCCCAAGCCCTTCCTTGCCTGCACCCCAAGCCAGCTGGTGCACAGGTTCTGACCCCCTTCTCTGCTGCCCTAAGGGGTGTTTTTGTCAGGCTGGCTCCCCCCCTGTCCCAGACCCAGGCCGGGACAGGGTGGGTGGCACAGGCTGTCGGCAAGGTTGGGACCTGTCTCACGATACCCCCCAGCCCCGTCCAAATGCAACTTGGCTGAAGAACTAATCCTGTTCCCCCTCAGCAAAAGGGGCAATCTGCAGTGCCACACCCGCGATGCCCGGGACCAAGAGAATCCCCCGGCTGTGGGCTCACCTGCAAACTGGGTGTAGGCCGTGTCCTGAAGGAACGTGCCACATCCAAAGTCAATGAGCTTGGCCTCACCGGTGGTCAGGTCGAGGACGATGTTCTGGGGCTTGATGTCCCGGTGCAGGACGCCGCAGCTGGTGCAGTGCCGCACGGCCTTCAGCACCTGGCGGAACAGCCCCCACGCCATCTCCTCCGGCAGGAACCTCCACGCTGTGATTAAGCGAGAGAGGTCCTGAGAGCGCTCCGGACACTCCATCACCAACAAGAAACTGTTGGGGAGCTCAAACCACTCCAGGAGCTGGATGACACCGCAAAACCCATTGGACACCTTGTCCAGCAGCACGATCTCCAGGGGTGCCCGGGTGCCGTCAGGCTGCGGGGGGACCACGATGTCGTCAGTGGGGGTGATGCCGTGCCTGTCTGCCTGCTACCCCTCTGCCAGCCCTGCATGCTCCCCGCCCCCCAATGACCCCATGCCCACTGTCCATCCAGGTGTCCCGGAGGCTTCCACCCTCCCGGGCCTCGGCTCGTCCCCGCCCGTCACGCCCCGCTTTCTCCCGCCGGCCCCGCTCACTCACCAGCTCGCCCCACTGCCGGATGCCATCCCGGGGCACGCATTTGATGGCCACCTGCAAGGCAAGGGCAACGGCGGGTTGAGCTCGCCGCCCGTCCCACTCTCTTCCTCCTCCTTCCTCCTCCTCCGTCTCCTCCTCCTGCACTCACCGGGGCTCCGTCCGCCAGGCGGGTCCCCGCGTAGACGCGGCCGAAGCCGCCGCTGCCCCGCAGCGAACCCACCCGGTACCGCTTCTGCAGGGGCTCCTTGGCCTTCCGTGCGGGCGAGACGTGGCCGTCAGCGTTCGGCCCGGGGCCCGGCACGGCCCCCGAGCGC